CACAAGCAGTCAGAATCCTCAGAGGCATCGACAAAGTCAACACAACCCAGAAGGTACATGTGGAAACTGTGTGGAAGTGCGTTTAAAATCAAGAACAGGAGGCACTTGTTCACCCAAGAGAACAGGCCGCCCAGCCATGTGGTTGGTTCTGACTCTCTGGCTTCCATCAAGAAACAGCTGGATGAGATCCTGGGATCAATTACCTACGAACTACCAAACGCACCAGAACAGCGTTGAATAACCTCTTTTGTAGCTCGTCTTAGGCTCTTCATACAGATGCAGCCATTCAAAATGCACGGTAAAACCCTGTACCATGTGAAATTATCTACAGTTTAGCGCGTTATACCGCAGTACATGATTGGCTGGCCAAAATGACTGACAGGCGGCACTCGTGGTGCATTGGCTGTTTCATTTAATCTCTTTACTGTGCATGTAAGTAAGTAAGTCCACTTAATATTGAATATTAATATGGAATTTTACAACTAAGGGGAATTTTTAGTAGCTGAGCATAAAAAGAAGAGGAGCATAATGTGTCTGAAGGTCATAAACTATATTAATTTAGGAATATAAACATTATGTAAACTGTGTTTGTGTAGCTCTTCATACAGCATATATACAGAATACAGTATGCGTGAGTGTCTGAGCTAGGTTCTTAAACTCAAAGTTGTACTGTACATCTCTATTTCCCTCGGCACCCAATTAATTTGGATGCGCGATATAATTTTTAAAGTTTTCTGTAGACTGTAAAATAAATATGTTAGTCTATTACAATGAGGGCTGGGGTCAGGGCTCCACCATCAGCATACAACATGTTGTCTGTTTATAATACCCTACTTGTAAGAAATGTGTTTCTGTAGATAAGAGTTTTTTTTTCTCCTTTTTAAGTTTGTTGAAGATTTCACAGAGCTGTTAGACTTACCAAAACACATGTAACTCAGTGGGGTATAGTTAAGTGCTGAAAGTGAGGGAGACAAATTATCCTTGAACACGTGGTTTTCTCTGTGACTGCAGAGGATAATACCAATTTGAGAAGACAAAGACACTCACTGATTTGAGAAAGCAGCAGGACTTCTTTCAAAATCTTTTTAATTATCTCTTTTTAATGAACAATTTTCCGTAATAAACACAGAATTATTAAACGGCAAAAAAAAATATTAAACAGTTGAATACAATGGGGGCTGTGATTTGTTCAGAACATTTTTCTTTTGTTATGAAATGTGTAAATGTTTCATCAAATGGCAGCTCGGGCTTAACAGCATGACTCTAGGCAATAAAATATCTTCACAATATTATTACCTCTTTTCTTTTAAGCAAAATAACACAATGTGCCACTATACAGTAATGCAATTGATTGTGTACAAAGGTAAATGTGCATGTAACAGGATGTATCAAGGGGATTTGAAGAAATAATTAGTTTTTTCCACAAGTCTGCTCTAAGGTAATGCTGTGAAAATATATCCTAGATGACCATTAATAGCATTCAAAGAGAGACAAAAACCATCTTGCTCTAGTAGAGCAGAAAAGCATACCTACACCTACATAATTCGCTCAGTCTATTTGAGACCATGCACAGTACATACTGTATATTCACCCCCACTTAAGCAAACCTTGATCTCAAGCGAATATTTGTGAATGTCCAATTATCCTGGGCTCCAGGGGTTCCTACATTCTGTTGTCGCCATGACTACTCATTACGCCCCAGGGACAGAAGGAACTTCATAGAGTAAAGCGATGTTGTATCACACGCAACCAAACACACAACCCTGTAGCCTAATATTTGAAGAAATAGCATAGACTTTAAATGAAAATTCTCAACTGTCTGAGGATAGGCTGGCTAATTAAGGTCTGATAAAACAGCTTGGAAATTTGATTGGGAGCCGTAGTTTATTACTGAGGACAGAGTAAAAAACTATGCTGTGATCTCTTAGTTCAAAGACCTCGTTTTTGTGTCTTAAACTAAAAGAGAAAAGCTGCACTGCAGACTAGAAAAGAATGTCTGGTTACTCAATGCAATCCAGAGATGCCTAATCAATAAACAGTATAGGCTTTCCTTAAATGCTTCCATCTAAATACTTCTAAGGGAATCACTGTTTGCCAGAAATACCGGTTTGATCTTCTCTAAACGTAATCACAATGGCCACCAAGTCATAATCTGCTACTGCTCTCTTCATAGTGTGAAATGCATGGTGAAACATTTTTGGACTTTTTCTTGAATGGTGGGTTGTGCTAACTGGCCTTAGATAGACAGGTAATAGACTTTTATTTCTAGAGCTGTAAAATTACTGTTGTTTTAATTATTACAGTGTGTTATTCAGGTATATGTGTAAATTATTTTTTAGTCTCATATAATGTTGCAAATAGTAACTGAATACATTTTTTTACTGCTTCTCTACACAATTAGAATTTGGAAACAATGCTTTCATGCACAGTACTTACTTAGAAATACACTATGATGAACTCAGTTGGAGTAAGAGAACTGATTTGGGTTTTAATATTTTAGCTACTGTACATTGCCTGGGGTGTAGAGAAATGCCTTCTCTATGCACCCTGATGCAGTCAGTTTAACATCTTTATACAGGTATTACATACAGTACATTGCTTGGAAGGAACTTTTAAATTCTGTGTTTCAATTCTGAAATGAAATGCAGAAGTACATGACAGAAAGATTATCTTTGTCACTTCTCACCTCCTGCTGAAAAATGTTAATACCAGAAAGACTTGCATAAAAAGAAAGTTATTTTACTGTTCATAGAGGACTTGAAGTTATGAGTTTTTAGTTAAATACAGTCCACTTCCCCATAAAAAGTCATAAATGATTGGAAAATAAAATACAAAATATGTCCTATAAGTATACATTTGTACAAATATAAAATGTTCAATTTTCTGCACACCTTGTATGCGTTGAAATATTTTGTACATGTACTGTAGTACTTCACTGTTTTAGAAATATCTGGTCGTTTGTCAAAGCTGCTGGCAGTCACATCGACGAGTAGAGGATATAAAAGCAGGCTGCACAGGCAAGCAAGTAACCCCCTGTCATTAATCATCATGGAGGAAGTCAGAGAGTTTTCAGGAGGTCTCTGGCAAAAGCTTATCAACTTCCATAAAATGGGTGAGGGCTTTAAAAAATTCACAAGAAGGTGAACATCCCAATTTTAATGGTCCATCAGCAGGATGCTCAAAGCTAACGAGGAGGTTGCTACTCAACCAGGAAGCAGTTTTACCAAGCTGACGTTTGGTGAGTGTATAGTGCATTATAGATTACGGCTGCTGTCACATCATCCAGGTGGGGCTGCACTCTTTGAGTGGAGTGTCCAGAAAAGGGTTATATAAATATAAGGAATTATCATGTCATTTGCCAAACTACTTTATACCATAATGTGTTGTGGGAAGCCAGAGCCTACCCAGCAAGCAACAAGAGCAAGCTTATCTCTTATGTGGTCTCTGTAGGCGTTAAGAATTTAATGCTTAGTAGCAGTCTGGGGCTTTCTGATTATTAGATTATTCTGATTATGTCAGGCGTCTGAAACGCCTTGTTTGTACATAGCGTAGACATACAGTAGTAACTTGTTTTGTTGTGTGTAGTGTAGTTTGTTTCTTGTCATTGTTAATAAACATTTGTTTAACCAAGTGTGTCTGGATTATTACTCCTTTCACCAAAGCTGTGCCAGAGAATAAAGAATTCACGTGCCTCTAATTATACCAACTGCTTGGGTATGTTCTGGAGAAATCATTAAACGTTGGGGGTTATGAATATTTATTTCACTTACTGAGTAAATGGCTCTGTCAATTTCTGATTTTCACCATTTTCATAACCCCCCATTTGTAACAAATGTATCAGGATATTTCCTCTGCTAAAAACCTCAAGCTTTAAGACAAATCTAAACAGCAGGATAATGACCTAAAGCACACTTCCGAATCTCCTGCCAGATGCCCAGGGCACCTGAAGTCGGTGCTCTTGATTGGTCATCACAGTCTCCAGAACATCTGCGCTGTGAGCTAAAGGAAGCAGTTCACAAGATAAAGCTGTATGATCTGATGGAGTTGCATGGAGGACTGGTCAGCAGTCCTGACTGAGACGACTGAACTTGAACGTACTGCATTAAAATACAGAATATGGCAGTGTTATCAAGTCAAAAAAGGATCAGTAAAATACTGATTGCTGAGGGTGTCAGTAATATTTTCACTGTATTTTAATGTATTTCAAATGCTGAATACACACTTGTTTGTGCTGGAACTATTATTCGGTTACATGGATTTTTTTATAATATACTGCAAGTCTTTCTTCTTCAATATCACTGTGCAAACCTGCAGTACACTCGGATGCACACAGACCCCGTGAAGCTATTTATTATCTTAAATCTTAAATCATCAGCTGTAAAAATATTTGAAAAAAAAAACAAAATATAATTAGCACAAGGAATGAGAACTCAAATAGAAAAAAAAGGAAGAACTACCAGTTTGAGGGTTGGAAGTCAGATTGCACTGGAGCCTGACCTTACAGGTTACAGAAATGGGATGCAGTACAGCATTGTAGCTTTAACTCTCTACAGTGCATTGTTGTTTCTACAGAACTGGTCCAGTGCAGCTATGCTGAAGGGTGCTTGTAGAAATGCAGATTGCAGTCTTTCAAATGTGTTTAGTGTTTTTTTTTATCAATGACTAGAAACTCGCTAAACTAGATCGTTTTTGCCTTTTGTGTCTTTTGTGATTGTTGTGACACACGTGTGCGTATATTTCTCTACTGTGAGTTTTTTTTAGAATGTTAGACTTCTAGTTCTTCCACATTTCAAATATTGATATGCGTGTTCAGCATGAAACAGTTGATCTTTTTTTCCGTCTTTAAAGGCATCTTTTAAAGATCCTTTGAATATAAACGGAATTTTCTAGTATATGCAGACTCTCTCTTTATTATTTCAGAATGACCCTGGTGATGAATAGTGTGTTATTTTTGGTATCCATTATCTGATTCCATCTGATCGGTTGTTCTCTCTTGGCAGGATGGAATGGGCAATCTCCGTGTCAACAAGGAAGGAATAAGGCTGGAGGGCATTTCGGAGTTTCTTCTTCCGTTATATGTTAAAGAAATCCAATCCAGAAAGGTAAGTGTACTGTACTGTATTTGTGCATCTTACAGTGTGCTCTCCATAAAACCCTCTCCCTTGCATTATAGACCTCGCCTCTGTGTCATCAGAAATCCATCCTTTCTAATTGGCCAGGAGCAGGAGATGCAGGTCGTACTGCGTTGTGACAGCTGTCACAAATCCCTCAAGCTGGTCAATCACTTTTGTTTCTAGTTTCTTTAAAACAAAAGTGTAACGAAAAGAGTAAATAAAACGTAGTGTGATTGAAGGGGCTTATTTACACAGATAGCAAGGTTTGTTTTAAAAAAGCCCTCTCTACATAAAAGAAGTTCAAAATCCCTTTTTACTTGTAGATTGTCGATTTTGTTTGCCAACACTGAAGTAGGAAATCATGTCTAATTTGACAGGGATTTAAAACCTTAGTTTCAAAATTTTAAAATGTGGCATTTGTATTTTATTTTAAAAAATGAAAGAGAACAGAGTGGTTTGTATGGATGTACGTTAACATTCTCCGGGTGCTAATGGTTGCACTGCACACTGTCTAGTTTGCAAAACACTAATCTGATTGTGTACGAAATAGAATTACAATTCACATCTGTTTTCCAGCATTAAAGTCAATTTGGTTGTAGTGTTAGGTAAATAATTAGATTTGTTGTTCTGGCTAAAGTAGTGCTTTCACAGTTTTAAAAACGAAAGATCTAGATGATGTTAAAATGTGTAATGAGGGTAATGTTAAGACATGTACCTCCTTAAATGCTGTCGTGGTATGCAAAATTGACTAAGTCCTTATTGACTATCGCCTAAAATCGTCCATCTAAGCACAATATTCTTCAAGAATCAGATTAAAATTGATTTTCTAATTCCTTTCAAGTTAGCTTCTGTAATTACTTCAGGTTGTTTTCTTCACTACTACAATCTTGTAGTTTTGCGGTTCAGATCCCACTCTTGATAATGATGACCATCAAAAACGTTTGAGTATATACAATATGGCAGCGTAGACAAGGTCAAATCTTATAACATATCCTGTGGAATGTTTGCATTTCAGAAACCGGGTAGGTTTCTATGATATAATGGTTTACAAAAACAGCAACAGATGTTTTGAATGTAATATTAACCAGCGAGTGCTGTAGGAGCTCTTGTGAATATCCTGCTTTTTATATTAAGAACGATGTCTGGAATCCAGCCTTAATATCATGTGTAAAGTCGAGTTTAAATTAACCATTGCCTTCCCATAATTTAAGTCCTGCAATAGATTAGGAAAAGATAGATTACTTACAATACTCAGTTTTCTGCTAGTGGCACCTTGGTGCAGTCTTCCACTAACAGTCTCATGTGAACCTCTTGCAAAATAACTCTGAAATGATGAAGGTACAGTATATATGTTCATCGTTTCTACATACTGTAGGTGACATGATAAAAAAGTTGTTTTACTGTTCCTTTTTGAATCTTTCAAATACACACACTGGATATAGCCTGGTTTTGTTTAACAAAACAATCCAACCAATGCCATGATGTTATTCACATTAAGTAGAAGTGAGCAAATTTATTTTCATGGATAATAATGACTCGTTAAAACCCACTGTGCTTCTAAATTTTAAAAAGGATCCTGGGCAAATTGTGCAGTGTTCTCCAGTTACTAGAACCCATTATGAACTCTGAAGGTTGAGGCTCAGTTCATACTGATGGTCTTCATACTTTCTTGCAGCTGCAGGGCCAGTGTGCAACCTTTGTCATTTTAATTGCATGGTATTGCTAATGCACTTTCGCTAATAGTAAGGCATTCTTGAGCTGCCTGATCATTAAAGCTTTCAAATGTTTGTAAGTCATCTTTAAGCTAGTGATGTGGTGCCATCTTGGTATTTTAGCTGATGTATCGGGGCTGTCTTCCAACACAGACCTTTATAATTGTCCCCCTAGGGATGCAATAAGAGTCTATCAGCTGTGAGTGAAGAATAATTCTTGTCTGCTGTCTTAAGCATAATAGCTCCTCATAGTGACAGCAGTTCTACCCTTTTTAATACACTTTGTTGATGTTTTATGCTTTCTTTTGCTACAAGTACAGTGTAATTAAAAAGGACTAGATCAAAGCAATGAACCAGGGCTTGGACTGTTTAAGCAAGGGTCATTTTTTTTCTGTTATGTTAGATTTTTAAAATGACAGATTCTAAAAATCTTTTAAAAAACATGGTCAATCGTGGTTGTGCATCACTTTTTAGAAGGTTAAAAAATTAAGACAGAGAAACTTGATTTCTGAGAACTGGATTAATATTCAGTGGTACTGTATGCGGTGAGCACTTTGAACATGAGTGTTGCTGAAAAATTCTGTTTCTGTGCAATACATATGAACGCAGACAATTACATACTACCTACAACTCAGTACAATATACCGAAAGGAAGATCTGCAGGTACTGCACACATCATACTATACATACACACATTATTGTTAAATATCTCTTAATTACAGTATGAAAGCAGTTGACTGTTCAAATAATACCCATCAAAGAAGAATTTCCTGCAGTGTACAGCAGCTGAAACAAAAATTGTTTTTAATTGTCAATTTGCTTCTAAAGGCCTGTGAAATAAATGCTGTTCAACTGCTCTAATTAAACCAATAATTAGCTCAATTGGGTCATTAAGAGCTGGGTTGCAATGTTAAATCAAATAAACTTAATGTAGCAATGAATTGACCTTTTTTATTTATGGAGCAGATTACAAAATTGTCATAAGAACATTACTTGTGCTAAAATTAGGAAAGTAGGAAGAAGACAGTTTAAACTCTCCTTATTTTTTTTGTTTTGCAACTTCGCTTACCACTCAGAAGAGCATCTTGTTGGGTCCAGGGCGAAACACATTTCAGTTTAAAAATAATACAGGTCTTGTATTGTTTTTCCAGATATAGAACTTCTGAGTAGCGATGAGAGCAACAGAATGTCAGCCTCCTGATGAATATACAGTAACAGCAAGTCTAGGTCTGTGAGAGACGTTTCCATCTGTTGTCGCCTTCCCATTCAGTAAAGATTCAGACCAAGACACCTGGCGCAGCATTTGTGATTCCTGTGATGGGACTTTATCAGCCTGATCTTGTCTGACTGAAGGTAGAGGTGCTAAACATTAAAATGTATAAGGGAACCGAAGGCTTTCTTAACTTTATGTACTGTAACTGGGCTCAACAGGTTTTATTCTGATCTCACAAGCTGGAATATGAAAAGATAAATGCCTCAGCAAAAACAAATTCTCAATGTGTCCCTCCAGTGGAAAGCCTTGCAGATGTCCTTGTCATTTAAAAAGGTAAGAGGCTTACAGCACAGATACATTAGATGCCTTGTTATTCTGAGAATAAATGTCTGAGGTATGCAAAGGTGCTTACTGTTCTGTACTACCTCTAAACGCTTTCTTGTATAGTATAGCACACAATGCTGGAAGTTAGCGTGACTTTGCCATTTTGTCCTTGCTTTATCGACATCCTCATAACTACAGTACATCACTGCCTTTGAAGTAGGCCAACGACTGTGGGTGCAACACTTTTGAGATAAGCGTGGTACACTAGGGTGTCCTTAGTGAGTACATAAACAATTCAAATACAAATTGTACATGTACTGTAACACCTAACCACATTTGGAGCATGAGAACTATTTATTTAAAAAACACTTGGTATAAATAGAAAATGTTAAACTATTTGTGTTCTTTTATTATCACTGGGTCTTGAATGTGGTACACTACATAACAGATACAAGATGATATGGAAAGCATGTTTGTTTTTCAAAGTGAAAAAAAAAACAATTTTTGCAACAGAATAACACAATGCAGGATAAGGGCTTCTAGAATGTAGCTAGCGAGATCTTGTTTGAAATACTGTAGCATATACAGTACTGTATATCGGCTTTCTAAGGCTCTTGGAAGAATAAATTACTAATACAAATACTAATAACAGAATAGCAATTTGTAGACTGAATGAATGTGGTTTTATTTAAATGGTAAAAGAGGATCTTATTTGGATCTTATTTCTGAACGATTACAAGTTGTTAAATTTAAATTAATCATATTGTATAGTCACTTAAACAGGAAAAATCTGATGCTTTTATTAGGTTTCATAAAGGCATTGTTTGATGAACTTGCAATGTAGCCTACACTACATATTGTGAGCAAAGTTTAATGTACTGTAGTTGCTATAGCCACAATCTAAGAGTAGATACACAGTGTCTACATGATCAGAGTTGCTATATTTTTTTCAAATATATCTTGGAAAATGGTGGGGTGAAAGCGATTAGTATTTGTCAAAATTATTTAGCAAACAGATGGAGAAAACTGACATTCTGTAATGAGTTGTGTTTAATGTTCACTGAACCAGGCTGAACTGGAAGAGCATCTGAACAGGATAAATGTCATCTTGTATTTGCCTTTTTAAAAAAAGACACTGTGTTCACACCCAATCATTCAGGATAATAAATGACAGAGCACATCACCGAAAACTACGTGTGCACCCTCCTGTGAAGGATTTATTAGGGCGGTCAGGAATGGCTATTGATTCTTGCCCCTTGGGGTAATTTGGGTAGTTAGTCAGAGGTGCCTTCTTGGCTCGGGTCGTCTGATCAGACAGCAGCCCAGGTTCGCTTGGGGCCGGGGGGATCAACAGGCTTTGTCCAGCTGGCCAGCCGGCTCCTGAAACCCCCCCCCCCCAAAAAAAGAAAGAAAATCCCTTTGATTTAAGAAGAAGGATGGAGCAGAGAGAGATGAAGGAAAACTCGAGGGAGCATTGCAACCCATCTTCAAAACGTGGGATTCCTCATCAATGAATGTAATCGTACCCAGTTACTGAAGTGGATGTACTGTATGATGTTTCAGCGAAGCAGCAGTGTCTCTTTGACGTGGTTTTATGTGTGGAAGTTTTTTTTTTCCCTTTTCTTTAAGCATCAGCTTAGACTGCAAGCTTTCCAGCGGATAAGTATTAATTTTATGAGCACAGACTCCCAGTTAAAGATTTCTGCCCACTTCCGAGTGTGAGAGGGATTTGTCGATGT